TAACATTTCTTTGTTTGGTTCCAATTTCAGAACACGTGTTATTCCCTAGAGTATCATTCTTTGTTTAGTGGTTGCACATGATAAGACACATGAATATGAATACAACTCAATCAAAGAATCTTATTCTCAAGAGAATGGCACGTTGTCCAAGCTTTCCATAGTACAGAGTTCGTTAATATTTTGCCAAAACTTTTTACCATACATTTTTTCAGTTATTAATGAAAAAAGACAACGCGCGAGAGGGATATTTGTGACGTAGTCAAATTATAATTTCTTCATATATTATGTATTGCGCATGCTCGTGCCTTTAAACTTCATACAACTACCTTAAGTCGCAAGTTTTCAATATAAATTCTTGGTTCTAGACAGTGAAATTATGATCGCCTGGTTTAAAGGGCTGCATGCTATAAAGAGCGAGCAGAAAAGCTATCAGGGAAAAGCTGGGTTCGATGAATTAATAAAGTTTCTAATTAGTATGCTGTATGAAGATACAGAACACTATTAGTATGCTGTATGAAGATACAGAACACTATTAGCATGCTGTATGAAGATACAGAACACTATTAGTATGCTGTATGAAGATACAGAACACTATTAGTATCCTGTATGAAGATACAGAACACTATTAGTATTCTGTCATGTTTAAGATCGTGAATTATTCAGTTTCTGTAATAAGTTAGGATTAAATCTGTACTAAAAAGTCCAAGACGTAGCCAGTACTGGCGAAGGAGATTAGTTTTGATGAATCGGTGGGGGTTTAATTTACTAACCAGTCTATGATATCATTTTCTTCGCAAGCGGCTTATACTGCGTCTCTATGGGTAACAGACATGAGTCTGTGTAAGACGAAGTGCTGTGGTGGAACTCCTGCACAAATCTGGCAGAACAGGACATGTTGTGCAGTACGTGCTGGGAGCTGTCTGGGTGTTGCACTAGCCAGGGAGGTCAAGTGTGAAGATACCTACTGCAACCAGGAACACTGTGGTAAGAAAGACGACGTAGAGACGTTCGTTTGAAAATGAGAAATCAATAAACTAAGTACAGCCAAGCTAATTAGGACGAACACAACCAACCACTGATCCAACTACAGGCTAAATACAAACACTTTTCAATTACTTACCAAGCAAAWAAATAACCGTTCAACCTGCCGACAGAACCTAAATATATTTAAAAGTCAAAGCGGCTCAAGCTTACCCTTTCTAGGCTCAATTGATGGTTTAATTATTCGAATATTGAAATGTATTATCAAGTGAAAATGAACTAAGAGAAGGAATCTCTGGTATTCGTGCTTGTAACCATCAAAGGCAACGTTTGATGCTATTTTTAGAATAACATTTGCCATAGTTTGTTTCTGGGCATGGTCATACTGCGCGTGCTCTAAAATATACGTATTGTACGTATTTTTTGAAAACAAAGAAAAACATGAGCAAACAGGGCAGAGCGCGCGCAGTTTGCGCGTGCAGAAAAACAAACGATCAGAAAATTAGTCTAAAAATAACATCAAAGATTCTAAAAATAGCATCAAAGGTTCTAAAAATAGCATCAAAGAGTGCTCATGATGGGGGCGGAGATTCCTTCTCTTTGTTCATATTCTCTTGGTATTATTCTTTCTGAGAATACGAAGACTAGGCTTCAAAATGATAATCGATCCAAACTCTCTGGTTGGATTATGGTGTTCCTAATATGGAATAATCCAATCAGAATTCGAGATTTGAATCGTAGAGTTTTGAGTCTCCGTATTCTCAGAAAGAATAATAAATTTCAATATTCAAATAATGAAACTATCAATAGAACCTATAGGGGGTAAGTTGAGACGTTTTGACTGTACAGTGAAACCCCTCTATACCGGACCCTCAGTATACCGGAATTCTCTCTAAACCGGACAAAAGTTTTGGTCCGGAAATTTTTCCCATATATCTTTTGTAAAATAAACCTCAGTAAACCGGAACCTCTCTATTCCGGAAACCGGACGATAATTTCGGTACCAAACGCTATTTGACAATAGAATTCAACTCCGCTAGTCCGGAAGAACGTACCTTTGTTTCGSAACTACCGTCACTAGCGTATTTGCGGGTGTATAAATTGAGTCTACAGGAACAACTTCTAGATTCACAAAATCATCAAAAATTTTCTTTAAATAGTAAATCTTGTTCACAAATAGACTTATAAAGACTAATTAATTGTTTTCAATATATAAATGTTCAAACAGCATGCATTTAAAGGAAGGCTTAATAGTGCTGAGAAATACTAAACATTGAATGGTTCGCAAAGTTGCGGTCGCCATGTTTTTTTTCAATGTCGCATGGCTTAGGGGTCATTCCCAGTCCATTTTACCGGGGATTTTGTTCAGATCACATTTAGAATGTTTCTTCTTGGCGTTCTTTCGAAAAAAGTTAAGAAATTTGCTTAGTTTTTGATCTTATTGTTGATATTTTTACTTGAACTTTAGTTTACGTGTTTGTTTATACTGACGCCAAACGATTAGACACAAATATATTTTCAATAGGTGTGATATCGCACCTATTCATATCGAAAACAAAAATAATTTGCAAAAACCTCAATATACCGGAACCCCCGCTAAACTGGAAATTTTTATCGGTCCCACCACTGTCCGGTATAGAGGGGTTTTACTGTAATGCATATACAAGATCTTATTACAATTCGATGATACACCAGGCAGTTCATTATTTCATATGTTTTTTGTTTTTTTGTTTTTTTGTTGTTTTTTTTCTTCAGGGGCTTGTCAGCTTCATCAATTGCCACTGGTCATAAAGATTGCTTTCATTTTGTCTGTTTTGTAAGTGTTTTAGCACTCTGGGATTTTCTATTAATTTTTATTAATATTTATATTATATTATTATTCCTTTGTATATCTTTTTGCCTAACACACTCTCTTTTTTCCTTACTGGTCGGAATTTCTTCCCTCTCAGTGCCTTTCCCTTTGTATGTTGGCTTCTTCGCCTATATTAGTATTTCTTATCTTATATTCTCCTTTTGCGCGACGAATTTTCCTATGTATAAAAAATCAAATAATATTTTCCTTCATTCAGGTACCAAGTTCTGATTTAAGTTTCCTTCGCATTCCTGCAGTCGACATACGTCAGTCAGGTCACAGTGCAACTTAGCAACAAACGCTGAAGCTGTTTATAAGGCAGTCTTGAATGTATAAAGGCAGGAAAATATTCCCATTTACTGATAAAGTGGAGTTTTTTAATTTATAAAATGTTAAGCATTTTTATTTCAATTTTACCACTGGAATGCAATTCCATATATTGTTTTGTTTTCTAAATATATGCATAGAGTAATTGTGAGTCTCCGCCAAGGGTATAATGCGATGTATTCCCATTTTGCGCTTACGAAAAGATAGATAGATAAACATCATTTAGGCAGGCAAGGCCATTCATCGACGATGCTGGTATACATCCAGAGGTATCCTGCATAAAAGTCGTAAAAAGCTTCATAAAGGAAATATTATTTGCTGGCAATTAGGTTTTTTATTTTTATTTTATTCTATTTTTGAGAGATGCAAACGTTATGCAGCATCACGTGGTCATGCAGTACCTTCCTGGAGGTAATAGTACAAGTGACTTTCAAACGGATCCATTCAATGCTGCTACCAGCCAGGTTCGAGCTTTTTGACCACCTTTTCCCTTTGCTCCTCTGCATTATCATGAGTTTTATTTAGATTTATCAGGTATTTTAGCGTTTTGTAGCCCTCGCCTATACTGAGGCCTATACAATTTCTTTTCTCAATTGTAAACATATACTTTGTTTTCTGACTTGTAAATTTAATAAAGCTGCTATGAGCTTATATTAGTCCAATATTGCAGTGATATATAGTCCTATTTATGACTGGCCATTGTGCACAAGCATTAGTTAAAGCTAAAGCAACCTGCTAGCTCTAGACTTCGAGTGGTCCCACTTTTCCCTCTAAACTCAGTAAGGGCAAGTGTTTTGGGATTCCTGTGGACGCGTGTAGATTAAAGCCGAGTAAGCGGGAAGAAGGGAGAGGCAGGAATAAAAAGCACTTGTTCGTACTGAGTTTGGAGTGGAAAGTGGGACCGCTTGCAGTCCAGCGCGCCCGACCTTTTGCAATTTTTTTTTTTTTTTTTTTTTTTTGCTTTTTTTTTTTTTTTTTACTTTTTTTTTTTGCATCACGAATAGGTTACGAGCATACAACAAAACGATTCATGTGCATCAGGGCGACCAAACTATTAGTCGATTTTCAAAAAAAAAAAATTAACCTTTATTATTTCTCAATTGACACGGTTTTCTTTGTTATTCACAAGACTTGATTTTTGTTATAACCCTCATTATAAATGCGAGGTCAATATATAGTTAGTTATTAACCCGGTTAATAACTATATATAGACCTCGCATTTATAATGAGCAACATTTGATAGAAAACCTTCTCAATTGATAAATAAAATACTTAATTGCCTCAAACGTCGGCAATAAGCCTCTCTTCTCGGTAATTAGCTCTTACTTACAAATACTAATAATGAGGTTCTTTTATAGCGCATTTCACAATGTCTCAATGCGCATTACATCGTAGTGGAGGACTTTACGGGCTGCATATTAAGGCGCTATTAGCAGCCGTGCAGTTTACAATCATGAGTGATTTGTTAGTACATTAGTGTTATGCCTCCAGAGAGGGATAGGCTGTTGAAACGGGAGACAATCCCCTACTCTTAAACGAATAATTCAACAGGTTCTTTTATGTCCCCCATTTTACTGCAGGTTAGGAAGGGTTGGGAGACGGGTCCTTATTCAAGAAGACTTGAAGTTCTTACCATTAAACAACAACAATGACAGAAAATATACGCAAAAATTTTCAAAATCCGAATTTTCTTGATTGCCTTTGCTTTCACAGCGGGTTTTCTCTCGTTTGAGTCTGTTTTCAGTCCAACTAATAATGCATACCGTCAATTCAAAAAATGTTGTCGTCGACCAGCTCAAGCCTACGCGACTGGACCGAAAGGAACTCTGGATAGTAATCATTGAAGCCGAGTTGACTCCATAATTTTATCTGACTAGTTATGCCTGGTTTACAGCACGAACCTTCGTAGGCGAGCGGGAAGTGTTGAAGGAGACGTTTTTTTAATGCCTTAGGGTTAGGGTTATATTTTCGGAATTGTGAACTGAATCATAACTGCTTTATTTTTCTTTCCCTAAACCCGAAGACATGCATTTGACGGATTGAATTGTTTCTCGCCATTATTATCTTTACTCGCGGGAACAATTAATTCAGAACGAATATTTAACCGCTTCAGTGAATTTTACCCATATTTCTTTCGGTCCAGTCGCGTAGGTTTGAGCCGGTCGACGACAACGTTTTTTGAATTGACTGTATATACTTCTTCGATACACCTTTGCAAAAATGTGAAACGCCGTTGTAAAAAGTTGAAATCTCCTTTCTTTGATTGACTGAAAAGACCAAAAATAAATAAAACTAGTAGATCAAAAAAGATACGACTCACAAGGAATTTTGGAATTTAAAAAAAAACTGTCATTGCCGAAAGAAAAAGTAGAAAAAATTGAGCTAGGCAAAAAAACGAAGAAATAATCAGTGTAACTTGAATAAACAGACGTGTCGCAACCTTCCAACAATGCGACCAGGATTCGAGTCCTGCTGGACTTGGTGTCGTATGAAACAGAATTGTTTGTTGGTTCTCTCTGTGCTTCGAGGGTTTTTCTTTGGGTTGTAAATTGCAATCGCGCGATCTTTGCGCTTTCATCTCGTTTCACCTAGATTTTCCTAGTTTGGTGATTGTCCAAGCTGTGATACTTTTTTAATATTTTGTTTTTAACTTTTTTCCAGTAAAGCAGGTATTCCAATTGGTGAAGGTTGTATAAGATTTCGGGGTTGTTCTTTGTGGTCGGCGACCGGAAAAGTTGCTTCAGTTGGCGATACACAGTAATAATCAATTATAAGAAAAAGCATAGATTTTAAGAACCCGTTAGGCTAAGATTTTCTATTTAGACCCTCTTTAAACAAGAACCTGCTTTAAGCAGGTTCTTATTTCATCAAATAGAGTCAAAACTCAAAAAATATAAATGAAAGAAAATAAGCTCTAGAAAAAATTCATGAAGCATTTCGAGAAGCTTTATATACATCTAATTCAAAAAACGTTGTCATAGGCGATAGGCGAAAAGCGATAGGATATATGTCATTCCAAGATCCAAGAATAGCTGGAATGACTTGTTTTTCTTCTCTGTATTCTCGTCACGAGTGGACCTTAGCGCTGAGATTGATTCGATGTTCTTTGTATTCAACGAAACCATTTCCATGTCGGAATGACCTATCACCTATCGCCTTTGGCGATGACAACGTTTTTGGAATTAGGCGTATAATTTATATCAATAAAAGATTACACCTATCAAGAAAATAAGAACCTGTTTAAGAACCTAAATAATGTGTATTCGCTATGCTAAAATACTCATGTAGAATCACTAAATACCATATTAAAAATGATATGTATATTTGCTGTGCATTTTCGCAAAAACTTTGTTCACTGCATGTGCAAGCTTTTGCGTTTCTAACTTTC